AAAATTCTTCTTGGTATAGAGGTGCTGCTAGAGTGGAGGGAACTATTCAAGCGTGGTGTGCCAATATCTACAGCCATTGAAAGCAAATTAGATGCATGGTGCAAACAACGTGTCAGGGTTTGGTTATTGCTAAAAAAATTCTCATTGAAAATACATGAAGTGGTATTGCAACCATKGTATTTCTTTTATGTAATTAATCCTATTATTACTAAGTAGAGGCTGATTATAATTTCCTTATTTAATATTATTCACTTGTACTCCAATTTCCAAAATAGATKRTCTTCTAGCCTTTTGAATGTATTATAAAACAATTGCTTATAGAGTTAGAAAACTTCCTAGAAAKGCCACCATTTAGCCTTCAATTTCAAACACTTGATCCATTTCGACAGTGATAATTATTGTATATACATTTTCAGGAAATGATGCCTTCCTCAGCAGAACTTATTTACTGGTCACGCCTGTTATACAACAGCTTTTATTTCTTTGAAATAATCACTAATCGATCCTTGGATGACAACATTTGTGGGCTGTGTGGCATTATTGGGGAGTTCTACCTTGGTGATGGCAATGAGAAAAACTGTTGTTCACTAAAAGGGGTTTGTAGCAACAAATATATTATAGCAAGGCCAGTACATGGGCCTGGGTCCCCCTGCATTTCGGACAGGTTTTAATTTGATGAATTAAGAATCATGCTCACCTCTTTCATTGTRAGATAAAGAAATAATTCACTACTCAGAGGTACCTGTGCTGGACAATGTATCTTCAGTTGGATAACAGTGTTTATATGCTAACATCAGGACTCAGAAGTTGAGACTCCAACCCCCAAARTAAAATGCTGCACTCATTTCAAGTTAGCAGCCTTTGCCATTTATGATACAATCATTATTTCAAACTTTGATAAATACACTTTAAATTCACAGGTCAAGTATAACGAAGAACCCTCTTCTAGTCCTTACAGCTTGRAGGAATTTCYGAATTCCCTGAAAGTTGCCTGGCATGAAAAAAATGTATATGCGAAGGGGCTTGACAAGGACATCATTATCAATGCAAGC